GATACTCAAGCTGCAGTTTTCTCTCCTCTTACATATTTGCCTTGTCCAGTGCAGACAGAGACAAGCAGGAGGAGGCCCGCCTCTGCCTGCCAGGCTCCACGGCCAGAAGCCCTCTCCTCCACATGCTCAGTGTGGGCTGAAGGAGACAGACAGATCCACCTCTGCCCGCAGTGCACCACCACCAAAAGGCCATGTTCTACAGGTGAACAGTGTAGGCAGAGACAACTAGCAGATCCACCTTCACCTTCAGGGAGCTGTCACAGAACACTCCTTCCTGCAGGCAGCCAGCAAGAGTAGGGGCTCACAGCCAGGTAAGCCCTGTGCATCCATAGGCCACCATTTGAGGCCCTTGGTTCCCTCAGACAGCCATCATTCACTAGCAGAATCACACAAACACACCCCTGTATGTCTGCCACCATCGTGGGAGTCCCAGTGTAGACACACAGGCTGAGAGAAGCAGCCTCACCGACATCATCACTCTGATCTTCAGTGAAGCTCCAGTGTAGCTGGATAGGTCTGGAGAAGCCCCATCTACACCCTACTACCTGCCTGTAAATCTGGAACTAGAGGAACCCAGGTGCTTGTCCCATCCCCCTACAATTCCTAGGGGCTGCCAACCTGGGAAGTGCCTGGGACCCCACAACCAGCTTACTGGGAGGAACTCAGGATATGTCCAAAAGAAGGAGCAAAAAGTAAACTCAGACCTCTAGCCCACACACAATAAGTCTGACAGGTGGTCATGGAAGAAAATGGAAGAAACCCAACCTGAAATCTCTGAGAGGATAGCAGCTGAAGTAAGGAAACAACTTCATGAGATTGTAAAAGCAGTCAAATTAGAAATAATGTCTCAGGTAAAAGAAGAAATCACAAATATACTGAAATAATTATTCAGCAGTTCTAAAGAAGACATAGACAATAAAGAGGAGCATAGGAAAATGATGGAAACCTTGAATGAATGTAAAAAGGAATTATAATGCATAAAACAGATTCAAAGAGAGATGCAGAAAATTAAAAATTCAATAGAAAGCTGACAAGGCCACTTAAAAGAGTCTAAAGATAGACTTTCAAACCTTAAAGATAGGATTGCAGCTAGTGATTGTGAAAGGAAAGATCTCTTAAAAATAACATGGAATCAGGAAATAATAACTCAATGGCTGCAAGATGAGGCAGAGAAGCATATTTTAAGATTGATAGGTATCAAAAAAGAAGTAGGGGTCAACACAAGTGAAATTAAAAGGATATTCACAGAAGTAATAGAAGAAAACTTCCCAAACATGGGAAATGGATCTGGCATGCAGATAAGTGAGGCCTATAGGACACCAACCAGCCATCATCAAAATAAATCTACACCCAGACATAGAATAATCAAGATCCCAAAAATTTAGCAGAAGAACAGAATATTAAAAGCTGTTAGAGGAAAGAGACTCACCTATAAAGGAAAACTGATCAGAATCACAGCAGAATTCTCAACACAAACCATCAAGTCAAGAAGAGTTTGGAGTGCAGTGTTTCAAACCCTGAACAAAAACAACTTTCAGCCCAGATTGATCTACCCAGAAAAAATTACCTTTCAAAATTGATGAAAAAATAAGATTCTTCCACGATAAAGAACAACAGAAGGAAGTCTAGAGAGGAAAGAATATTCTAGAGAGAGATAAAGATGACCATGGTTCCAGGAAGTGTAGCAGAGGAGGACTGATCGCCAAACAAGACAGGCAATTGAATGAAAGGGAAAAGTGGAGGGCCAAAAACAGTAGCACAGCAGGGCAGAGACAATCCAATGTATGCCAGTTGTAACCATTTATGTAGATGGCCTCAAGTCAGCAATATAAAGAAACAGAGAGAGTGCATCAAGAAACAAGATCCATCGACATGCTGTATACAAGAAACACATCTAACTGGAAAGGAAATTCACAGACTGGAAAACTATTGTATAGTCTCCCTAGTGTAAAAAATGGTAAGAGTATATAAGATACAAAATACTCAATAAATACAGTGAAAGGATAAGAATTTGCTTAAAGGGAAAAAAATAATCTCAGGGAAAATGAGGAAAAAGCAAAAGAACGGGAAAAGAAAAAATATTTAAAATTTACATAAACGCATTAGTATAGTTAAGATGATTGTGCTACAAATCTGTAAGTTCTTGGAACAAAAAGTTAACATTCATAGGACTGGAATAATTGTGCATATTATTATATAGTAATCTGAGGAACTCTTGAAAATCATTATGTAAAATAACAACCCTAGTTATGCCCATACCACCTTGTTTTGAAGGCCTATATTGTCAGTGTTTTGGGCTCATACCTACATAGAACCTACATAGAACATACAGATTCATACCTACATAGAACTTCTCCTAAACAGTTTATGAGAATCGATTATATAATGCATAATGAAATGAACAACTACTTTGAAGAAAAAGAGACACTATGGTATCCAGAGTTGATTTTTGTAGCGTCATGCTGCGAAATCCAGCAACACTATTATTCTTTGTTCAGAGTGATTTCAGTCTGTTTTGTATTGTTCAATTTCAACATACATGAAGGTATGGACAACTATTTTGAAAAGAACTAGAGACATTATAGCAGCTATTGTTTTATTTCCCCATTGTCTGGTTTTGCCTTCATCATTCTGTACTGATCAGTTTAATACAATTTTGTTTTGTATGAATTCACTGTGTGTGAAGATATAGACAACTACTGAGAAGAAAATGAGACAGTATGATAGCCAGTGATGATCTCTTGTCTTGCTTTGAAATCGGTGTCACTTACATTGTTTTCTTCTGATCTGCTTTGTTCTATTTTGTTATGTTTAGTTTCATCCTTTAAAATTAAAAAAAAAAAAAAAAAAAAAAAACATATTTGCCTTGTCACTCTGTAGATTTATTCTTTGGCTGTGTGAAAGTTTTTGACTTTGTTATAATCCTAACTGTGTATTTCAGTTTTATTTTTTGTGCCTTGGTGATCATATTAAAAAAAAAAATGATTGTCCAAACCAGTATCAATGATTCTTCTCTGTTTTCTTCTAAAAGCTTCATAGCATCAGGTCATGCATTTAAGTCTTTTGCTCATTTTGAACTGATTTTTATACATGGCATGAAAAACTGGTTCTATTTTATTCTTCTGCATGCAGATACGCATTTACTGAAGAGTTTTTTTGTTTGTTTGTTTGTTTTGTTTTTTTTAGGTAGGTTCTCATTACATTGTTACTATGTTGATCAGGCTGGCTTTCCAAATAGCTATGACTACAGGCAAGTGTCACTGTGCTCAGATTCTGAGGAGATTATGAGACTGATTCAATTAATGCAATCACTTACCGTTACTGTTTGGTTAAGGCTTTTTAATTTCTTTTTCATTCATAATGAGTAGAGTGTGTATTTTGGGGGATTTAGCCATTTTTCTAGGCTATCAACTATGTTGACACAGAACTGTGCATAGTACTCTCATGATCTTTATGTGTGAGGCATTACTTTTCATGACTACTAAATATAGGACAGTTGCTGCCTATTCTAATCTTTATCACTCATCAAGCATATCAGAATAGGTAAAGCAGGGTTCACATTCATTACCCACTAGAGTTGATTTTGAATTACTAATAATTTTTTCTCTTCTCTTTTGTCTACTTATTCAGAGATGCCTCAATGTATCCATTTTATTTAAAAATAATGATAAAAGCTTGCGAACTATAATAATACAAAATGTGAGTGACTATTGTCATTCTATTTAATCAGCAGTTCTGTAAAGTTTGACATGACAGAAATGATCTGCTACTCCTTCGCTAAGCCTTAGATGCCAGCCACATTTCCTACTAATCTCTCTTTGATCCTAATGTATACATACAGACAACGACCTATTATATACAAGGACTCAAATACACACATTCAAGTCAACAACTTTACCTGCCTTGTAGCTAAATAACACTCAACAATTACAATATAAGCCTTACTTGGAACTGTACAATTCTTTATAGTCAATGAAGAGCTTTTCAAGGAAAATGTTACAGACTTTTGATCTTATGTATTTTAATTCTGATTGTTTTAATATAAGAATTAATTCTTAATAAGCAGATACATTTTTATTCACATTTTGTCTACCCAGCCTGTAAATTATTATTCCATAACAGGCATTTAATCAATGTTGCTGTTAAATGTATTAATTACTAGCACTACTACATATTAAAAAGTAAAATAAAAAAAAATATTAACAGGATTTTTTGACAATGCTGATAATTCATTCATTTCTACATATATAAGATTTAAGAGCCCAATTTTTTTCTTGTGTCTTTTTCAACTACAAGATTTCTGTGGTCTTTCAATTTGTACCTGAATCTGGAATCTTACTTTCTTTTACCCTAAAAATCTCTCTCTTCACACGTATCTTTCGTCATTGGGCTAAATCTTTGTTGTCTCTTTGTTTTCTTCATTCCATTTACATCAAAACTAATTCCATATCCTTGTACTTTTGTTCACGCAAACCTCTTAGGGAAGTTCTTAACACACAGTGAGATGAAATTTGAAACAGACATTATAACTACAATATCAGACCATCAGCCATTAACCACGCACTTCTGTCAGGAAGCACTAACAGAAAATCAAATAAGCCAAATGGAAAATAAAATATCCTAAAATATAAAATCAATTTCAGGGGCGCTCTCTCTCTCTCTCTCTCTCTCTCTCTCTCTCTCTCTCTCTGTCTCTCTCTCTCTCTCTCTCTCTCTCTCTCTCTCTCTCTCTGTTAATACATACTGCATAAACAAGTAACTCAAAAGTCAAAGCTCTGTAACAAAATCTACAATCAAAATTTTCTTGGCTCTATTACACCGTTTGTATCTATTCTAGCACATCATTGTGACTGTGAGCTATTGACTGCACAGCACAAAAAATTTCATTAAACAAACAAAACTGAATAAAATCTGTCACTACAAAACCTGTTGTATGTACTCCAATTGTTTTGGCAAAAACTTGCTTACTGACGCATGCAATTAAACTGTTCTATACTAACCTTCTAGGATGATTGGCATCAAACAAAGTGTTATCATCCTCCTCATCATCCTGCTCCAAAGGTGTCAATTCCATGTTTTCTATGTTAGTGTCCAAAACGCCATACCGCCTTGTCTTTCGGTTTCTCCTTCTCATCCTATTAAACAAAAATTAGTGAATAAAAATTACCTAAAGGTGGCATATATAATACTTAGTTCATACTGTAAATGAAAATTAAATTATTCCTGTTTCTAACATAGAAGATACTCAATGTGTGAATTGCTACATTTCAGCTACATCGTCAGTCGTCAATCTGCCAAAGAATGCTTACAAATTCATGAAACAAAACCTACTCCTACATATTTGTGCACCATCAGTGTTTCTCGGGTTTGACTCTTCTGCCTGAAGTGATTCCAAGATGCTAAATCTATCCTAAATCCACCATTCTTGAAGATTCTTGGGATTGGCAGAATCATAACTACTAATATGACTGCAAAAAATGTAACTCTTGCTGGGGATTTAGATCAGTGACATAAGTCCCTGCCAGGCATGAATTCAATCCCAGGTACCACAAAAAAAAAAAAAAAAAAAAAAAAGTAACTCTTTATGACTAACCCAGTCGTAAGGAAATAACAAACTTTGAAAGCAGAACCAAGACATCTATATTCAACAAAAACTTCTTGAGGTTTTGATGCATTCTGAAGTTAGAGAAACATTAGAGAAACGATTTTAGGGTGATGAATATTACATATATATATATATATATATATATATGTGTATATATATGCATGAATGTGTATGTGTATATGTATATCACAATTTATAGTTGTATACCATGATCCTCTGCATTAACTTGCTTTATTCTTTAAAGTCATTTAGCTCATTCATATGCATCTACGTTTATGTGGGTGTTTATTCATGTGTCTCTCCTATTAAGTTTCATGAGGTAGGCAACCATGTTTGCTTATTCACAACAGCAAGACCACTTTCTAGCAGCATCTGGTCAGATGTTGAAAGTTAAATGCTTGTTTTAAGTCAGAGTGATTTACAGCTGAGTAAATCCAAACTACAACCTTCCAATGAGTGCTTAAGTCACCAACAATGTGACAACATCAACTCTATATGTAAGGAAAGATGTTTCACCAAAGTATCTACACTTACAAACAAATTAGAAGTTATCTCAGCAAGTAATCACAATTTGCTTTAAATTTGGATTTGCCTTGTTTGACGTAATAAGATTGTGAAAGCAAGAACTTAGCCCACAGAAACAACTGCAATAAGCAGTGACCACGGGAAGTCCTGGAAGCCAAAGAAATCAAACACACATGTGTATGTGCATACTTTTAACAAATATTTGAGGTTTCGCAAGCATAAAGCATTATACCAATTCCTGGATGTATACTGTCTAGCCACAGTAATTAAAATTTATAAATACTACTAAGCCTGGATAAAAACCATGTTAATATCCACCAATCACTGGCTACACACCCATCTATATACACCCTTGAAGGAAACAGGACAAAACCCAATGGTAGAAGCATAATGTTTACAGTTACAAATGTAAACAGTTGTGTCTTAGTTACTTTTTACTCGTCACTGAGACAAAAATACCTGATGCCCAAAGTTGGGAAAGGAAAGGTTTATTTTTTACAGTTTTTGGAGGTTTTAGTTGATTTTAGTTGGCTCCAAGGCAGGGTGGCATGGCGGGGCCGCAGTTCACGGCAGCTGTAAACAGCAAGCAGAAACCAGTAAGAGAGAGACACACATCTTCTTCCTGCCATTACATTATATGCTGGCTCTATCCCTAGGTGGGTGTAGCACTGACACCATCAATCCAAGCTCTAGACAATGAATCAATCACAAATGCACAATGCAAATGCATGAGGGCTGGGGACCACAGACATAAATCACCACAAGTTGAAAGAAGTAATAAAAGTTATAACTAGCAAAAATAAGGTGATGTGAAGTATGAATGTCTTTTTTTGTACCAGAAATTAAATGTTCAGATTGTTATTTTAACAAGTACAGAAGTATGTGCATACTTGAACAACATGTAAACCAGATGTCTAAATATTTTTCTGCAATCTGATAGTAATTTAGGCTTTAGTCCCTGTCCCACATTTATCTTAATTTTTCGTATAGTTTAGAACCCTTTAAGTCTATAAAATATTTTACCTCCTAGATTTTACAAAAAAATAATAATAGGATTTAGCTTGTTTATCAAATTCCAATTTAGATCTATAAAGGATATTAACGGCAAAAGTAAGATAAGTATGAGATAAGTAAGGGCATTGCTTCTAAAAAGGAATTAAAAAACAGGGGGGTAGGTCACTATTGCCCTTTTAGTTTCACATGGCTGGATAACTAAAATGTCCTTAAATATATGTTGAGAGGTGGCACTTTCCATAATGCTCTTTCATTTAAGAAAGTCAAGACGTAGGAGTCAGTGAAAATTCATGACAGCACTGGTTATGGCTACTGAGAGTTATAGTATGTCCTCTTCCTTTTCTACCAGTTTTTTGTTACATATTCTAAACCATGTGGATACGGATATTGCTGTAATATCTCTTCATCCTTTTACCGTCGGGTCCATTTTTAAACCATATGGCTTCCCAAACATCTGGCATTTTTAGTCGATGAAGAATTTAATGTCTTCTGAAGTAGCTTTGGGAAATAAATTCAATTCTCCTAGGTCATATATATTGCATTGTTGATCTGCTGCTAATCTGGTCATTGTTGATCACAAAATACATTGGTAAGTCTTAAAATGGAGAAGAGTGTGAACAAAGAGTTTAAGGACTTTTAAAATGAATCTCAGCTAATATTCTTTTTCACTCTCTAGATCTTCATTATACGCTGAGGGAATTCCTAATCTTCCCCAAGAAAGACCAAAGTAATATTTTTCTGCTTAATATTTTTCTGTGTGTGGTGTAAATATTTGATTACACTGATAATGGTCATCTCATTATTTATTCTAGACTACATTGTTAATATGTATACTCTCCATATATTTTATCTTCTAGATTTATTTAATCATGGGTGTAAATGCTATCTTCTAACATGGATCTCTTTAAGAGAAGAACTGCTATCATATATAAATATAGGTAGAATATTGTTAAGCTCTGAATGGGATGCAGTTTAATTTAAATTAATATGTCAGCATATGTACTAATTCAAACAAGAATGAGTGAAATTTTAAAAAGCTGTATTATTATGAAATGGATTTTAAATTTTAAATGTTACTTCTTCCAGCATGTCTTTCCTCAGTCCAAAGATACAGGCAGTGTTGGCTCTGTGATCATGACAGCAACATAGCCATAAAAACATGAAATACAGTAGAACATATATGTTATGGGCAGTGATTCTTCACAAGCACGCATTATATTAAAGAGGGCTTTAAAACCCATCCAGATTTAACAACTGTTTGCGCTTTTCTCACAAAGAAATGTTATACTAACTTCCTGATACCCACATTTTCACAGTATGCGTTGTTGACATAGACTTAAAATATCCACATCTTTCTACTAGACCAAATGTATACATATTGAAATATGAAATCATATATTGCTGGCTACTAATACAAAAGTAGTAACTTTATCTAAAAACACAGACATGAAAGTATAGATGTCTAGAAGGGATAAAGAAAAAAGGTAAACAGTTGCTTGTAGTGAATTACATTCACTCATAACAGCATGCACAGAAATATGTTATCGAATAGATTTCTTCTAGGTATTCAAGTTGAGATTCAAACAACTGTTTTAATGTAGATGCAGATTTCTTAAAATTTCATTTTGTTTTGGTTGGTAAGAACTATTTCTGTTTCAAGACCATGATTAAGTTATACTATCAAAATAAAACTGCTAAAGCAAGCTTGATAAAATTTTATGTAAAAATATTTGATGCCACATAAAATAAACACAACCGAATAAAACTGCATTTCATTTTACTACTCTATGAAAGAGAGTCCCAATCAATGTAGCTTGCTGTCTCCAACTGATTCATCTCTTTTTTCTTTTCATGGAACATTTATAGGTCAGGTGTTAAATATGGAATAATATAAAATATTTAATTTACTCTATAGCACATTGAAACCAGATTGAGGAGTATATATTAAACACATGTATACACACCATACACATCCTATGTGGATAGACATACCCAAGCAGAACAAATCTCAATAAATAAATACAAAACTATTCATAGAGAACAGAATTTTGATCTTGACTATTTTTAGCATAACAATGACCAAGCATTAATTTTACCAATTAGTGACCCAAGACTGAATTTGAAACTAGTTTTTATGACAACGTAAAGAAATAAAAGAGAGCTATAACTGTAACATGTCCACACGTTTTGGAAACCCAGTCAAATCTGGTGCACTATAAGAATGCCTTTGGATAACCTAGTATCTTTTTCATTTTCCACTTCAATTCCCGTAGCACATGTCATCAGTTTGTAGTTCAAGTTCTTCACAAAGCCAACATTACTGGGAATTAGGATATGTTATAGGTAGAACTGTGTTCTCCAAAATTTATGTTGAGAGCGAAAGATAAGGTTCTACAGAGAGACTTAGTTAAACTGGAGTCATAAAGGTAGGCACTAATCAATTATAACTGTTGCTCTTATCTCAAAAAAAAAAAAAAAAAAAAAAAAAAAAAAAAAAAAAAAAAAAAAAAAAAAAAAAAAGATGGAGGAAACCGGGCATGGTGGCATGTAATCCCAACACTTAGGAGGTTGAAGCAGGAGGATCATTGCAAATTCCAGACCAGTCTGGACCAAAGAGTGAGCTCAAGGCCAGAGTGAATTGCATAGTGAGTCTCTGTCTCAAGAAAACAGACAGACAGACAGAGGAAAGGAAATCTGCAGACAGACATGCAGAGGAGTTGATTTTCATGAGAACATGAAGCAGGCATGTACATTTCAAGGAACAGGTCTAGAAGAGACCTTTGCTCACTGTCCTCAGAATGGATCAACCATGCCGATATGTTAAGTTTGAACTTCAAATCTCCAAACATATTTGAAAATAAATTTCAGTTATTTAAGCCATCTCATCTGAGGGGTTTTCCCTTTTTACTGCAACTCTACTAAATTAATAAAGAACATAAGATATTTTTTAAGGGCAAGGCCTGTGAAGGATGGAGCAGAAACTAGAGGAGG